TGGAAGAGAAAGTGAGGCTGCTGACTTTGCATCACTCTGCCTCACTTAAATACAATTCAGGAATACAAGTCTTTTCCGAATTGATAAATGATTAAAGGATGTGAGTGGGCAGTTTTCAGATGAAGAAATTAAGCCATCTATAATTATATGAAAAAAATGCTCTAAATCACTATTGATTAGACAAATACAAATCAAAACAACTCTGAGGTACCACATCACACCCATCAGATTGGCCAACATGACAAAATAAGAAAATGATAAATATTGGAGAATATGTGGGAAAATTGGAACACTGATGCACTGTTGGTAGAGTTGTGAAATGATCCAACCATTTTTGGAGAGCAATTTGGAACTATGCCCAAAGGGCTATAAAAATGTGCATACCCTTTGACCTAGCAATAGCATTTCTAAGGGCTGTACAAATGGGAAAAGGACCCACATGTACAAAAATATTTATAGTAGCTCTTTTTATGGTGGCAAAGAATTGGAAATTAAGAAGATGCCCATCAATTGGGGAATGACTGAACAAGTTGTGGTATATGAATGTAACAGAATACTATTGTGCTATAAGAAGTGATGAGCGGGCAGACTTTAGAAAAACCTGGAAAGACTTGTATGGACTGTTGCCGAGTGAAGTGAGCAGAATCAGGGGAAGGCTGTACACACAGTAACAGCCTCGTTGTACAATGACTAATATTGATAGACTTAGGCCTTCTCAGCAATGCAAGGATCTAAGACATCTCCAAAAGTCTCATTATGAAAGATGTCCACATCCAAAGAAAGAACTATGGAGTTTGAATGCAGATTGAAGCATCCTATTTGCTATTTTTTCTTCTGTTTTGCTTTGTTTTCTCTTTCTTGTGGTTCTTCCTATTGGTTCTAATTCTTCCTTACAACATCACAAATGTGAAAATATGTTTAATAGGAATGTATGTGTATAGCTTATGTCAGATTGCATGCCATCTTGGGGATGGAGGTAGGGAGGGAGGGGGAGAAAAATTTAAAACTCAAAAGCTTATGGAAGTGATTGTTGATAAATCAAAATAAATTAATAAATAAAAAGAAATTACTCTGAAATTTAAAAAAAATACAATTCATGAGCGAGTCAAAACATCACACTGGGATGTCATTGGTTCTCCTAAAAAAGTGAAAAAACAACAATAACTTCTCTGTTAACTGTATAACCATAAAGTTATGAATGCTGAAAAAAAAATAATTTGCCAAAGCCTGCTTGTTCCCTTTTTATGTTTTCACCAAACATATCCTTTAAACATATGTAGAACATTCTCATGCAAATTTTATAAAGATTAGAAAATAGGCATCTAGATCAGTAATTATTGACATATTCTTCCCTGATCACCTTTTGGGGGACAACAATATCTTCCATTATTTTTTTCCTTCTTTGTTATCTACCTTTTCCTCAGATATCTTATAATATGACCCTTCATGCTAGCAATAAGTACAGATTTTCTTGGTGTTTATGATCCAGTTGCTTTTCCCACTTTATCTTCTTAAGTACTGTTCCACCTTCTTTTTTATAATACATGGGAGAGTGAGATAGTAGAGGCCAAATGTGGTGGTACCATTGTCTTTAATGATGAAAACTGATTGTTATAGAAACGCTGACAAATTTATTCCATTTCCTATATATTTGTGGTCCTCCTCCCAAGTTTCTCTATGAATTCTCTTAGGATGATACAGCTTAGTTGGGTCTCGTGCGAAGCTTTCTATAATCTTTTCACTTCCACTGCTTTTTACTTTTCATCTGTTAGACAATAATGCTTGTAATCTTCTACCATCCTCTGTCTTTAAAATTTTTTTTATTCTAAATGAGTATTGCCTTTGCCCACCTTATATCTTTTTCTATTATCTTCTGCTATTTCCCTTTTTTCTTTTTTGGCATCAATAGTTCATTTGAGTAGATTAGGATGAAGCTTTGGCAGTATCATTTTTACCCTTTTTTAAAATTGGATGTTGATTTTGACCTTTATTCTAATTACTTGATGGTCTGATTGCAATCAGAAAGCTTATTCTGTCTAAAGATTTAGTTTCATCCTTAAAAAGGAAAAAATGAACCACTCGCCCACCCCCACCCCCCTACCCTGAGAACTTCAAAATGAATAACAGAGTGACAGTGGTCTGGGAGGAAAAAAGTGTATACAGATCTTGTTATTTAGTTGAGTTTTCTTGGCAAAGATACTGGAGTAGTTTGCCATTTCTTTCTTCCAGCTATTTTGCAGATGAGGAAACTGAGGCAAACAGGATTAAATGACTTGCCTAGGGTCACACAGTTAGTATCTGAGGTCAGATTCGAACTCAGAAAGATGAGTCTTCCTGACTCCATCCCCAGCACTCTATATCAATATCTGCCCATATAGATCATAGGATTTTGATTTTAGAGAGCGTTAGTTCAATGACAACCCTTTAAGTATTCTGATTTATGGGATTTGATCATAAGATTTAAAATCTAATAAAATCTTAGAGATCTAGTTCCAACCACCTCATTTCATAGATGAGGAAAGTGAGAGCTCCAAGAGCTAAAAGTCAGAGATCATAAAAGTAGCTAATTGCAGAGACAGACTCTGAACTCTGGTCTTAAGACTTCAAAATACATTACAATATTAACTGTAGCTCCATGAAACCAAAAGTTTAAAAGATATCCACAGTTTTTAAAAGGAAAAAAAATCCACTCTAATCTAAAGCAATTCTCATTTAAAAATCTCTGGGGTTTAGTGGGAGCTTGCCAGGAGCTCCCTCATGGCACTGAGCACTTGCACATAGCTGGTAGTCTATAAATGTTTGCTGAATTAAAAGCTGACAGTGAATGATAGTGTATCTTAGTGGAGGAGACTGCTACATCTTCAAACCATTATTATGAACAAAAGTATCTCTGAGCTTAAATTATTTTCAAGTGAGCAATATTTATGTATACAAAGAGCAAAAGTATTTTTAGAAAGATACATTAAGCACACAGGAGCACTATGAAGTCTGAAGACTTTGTCTAAGGTTTAAATGTCTCAGAAAACATAAAAAACCACTGGCACACACTAGTATCAATTCTAAATTCTCACTTCCATATTACAGTGCTGTGATATCCTCTTTAAACAACTTTTTATATATTTGGATCATTCATTCTCTTTCATTTACACCATGAATGCAATATGTCTTTCCAAATACATGCACATACACATCTCAGATGACATATTATTGGCTGAGTTTTCTCCTTCCCATTCTTGATTCTTGAATGAGGAAACCAAGGGAATGTAAGAAAGGAATATATCTACTCTCTCTACTATTTTTTTTTTTGGCAATTGGGGTTAATTGACTTGCCCAGGGTCACACAGCTAGTAAGTGTCAAGTGTTTGGTCTGAGGTGGGATTTGAACTCAGGTCCTCCTGACCTCACTGTGCCACCTAGCTGCCCCTCTCTCTACTATTCTGTTTAAAGTCTGCTAACATCAATACTGTGCCTCTCCAGCTATTCTTGATTAAAATTTTTGACCCTTATTTAAAATTTTTTGAAAGAGCAGAATATGGTTCTTAGACTCTCCATTTTCTTTTTAAAAGATGAATAATTTAACTTAGTTTTACAGAATTCTTATACCTCTCACTGAGATAATTTTAAAATTGCACAAGAGTTGGGGGCAGTTAGGTGGCGCAGTGGATAGAGGGAGTCTTGGAATTAGGAGGACCTGAGTTCAAATCTGACCTCAGATACTTGATACTGACTAGCTGTGTGACCCTGGGCAAATCACTTAACCCCAACTGCCTCACCACCCAAAAAAAAAAATTGCACAACAGTAGAAATCTTAACATATATGCTTCTTTAAACTTTAACAACATAGATTGCAAATATGATTTAAAAAACAATGCAATATTTAAAGGAAAATTGAATTTTCTTCTTAGTGCTTACGTGTATTTTAATTCTATTCATCATAGAGTTGAAACTATTTGTGTCAATGATTTAAAATATAAATATTCTGTAAAGTAAAATATAATTATTCTAAGATGGATATATTTGCCTTTACAGATTGTTTAGGTTATTAACAAAAACCTCACTTATTAAAATTTCAAAGTACACAAATACCTTGTAAAGACCATACTAGTAAGGTGTGGTATTTGAAAACATGATGGTGGTTTGCAGCAGAGGGCCATGGCAATAATATAAATTTGTTGATTTTCACATTATGTGTAGAAAGGGCTAAACCAGAGGTGGGGAACCTGGAGGCCACATATGGCCCTCTAGGTCCTCAAGTGTGACCCTTTGACTGAATCCAAACTTCACAGAACAAATCCCCTTAATACAGATTTATTCTGTAAAACTTGGACTCAGTCAAAAGGCCACACCTGAGGATCTAGAAGGCCACGTGCGGTCTGGAGGCCATCGGTTTCCTACTTCAGGGTTAAACCGGGGGTTGGAATCCTTCCTAATAGTAATTAGTGTGCCAATTACAAGCACTCTCTTGTGGTCATATTGCAGCAGTGCAAAGAACACAGTTCAAACATTTACAACAGAATGGAATAAGAAACAGTCACATACCTACCACCAGCAGCAAATAAACTGCATTATAAAATTTCCCATGAGCTTTTTCAATTAATTTTACTCAGTCTCTATATCAATAAATAGAAAGGGAAATCACATTGTTGAGCATGCACTAGAATGTGGCTATTTCCCTTTACAAATGAATAATACTATGGGGCAACTAGGTGGTGTAGCGGATAAAGCACCAGCCCTGAAGTCAGGAGGACCTGAGTTCAAATTCATCCTCAGACCAATAACACGTACTAGTTGTGGGACCCAGGGCAAGTCACTTAACCCCAATTGCCTAAAAAAAAAAAAGAATAATACTGGGATGATGGGATTGTAGTCATCATCTGAGATAAAAGTGTGATTCTTTGAACTAAACTTTAGTAATATTAATTGCAAGAGTCAGAGAAGAAGAAAGGGGAGCAAAAAACAAGAATTAATAGAAGGTGAATAGTAATCAGAGCAATACATACATGGATGCTATCTGTCTTCCTTTCAAATGGAACTGGCATGATATAGTTTAGGATTGAAAGCTGGTCAACGGTATCCTCCAGAACTGCAGAAATCCTCAGAACATCCAGAAGAGGGAGTGTATCAATTATTTCCTGGATGACTGGTAATTCTCCAGGTGGGAGTATTGCTTCAGGTTCATCAGGAACATTAACACCAGGAGGAGGAGCTCCTGTCATTGCCAGCACTTGAGGATGCAAAATCTTTGAAGGAATGTATACTGCCCCCTCCTCCTCCTCCTCCTCCTCCTCCCTAATAAGAATCAGAAAAGTACGTGAGTTAGTCTGAGTAATGCTTGAAGTAATATATATGTTGGAAATCTCTTCATTTGTACCAACTTATAGAAACGTTCGAAATTCCCCAAATTTTAGACTTGGTCCAAACTCTAAAGCCCGGCAGGATGAAACTCAAATCTGACCCAAATGAGACCATGTTGGTCACTGATTTGTATGAAGAAGAGAACTAATTTACTGTGAGCTGGAGAACCATCTAAGGCTTTGTTTGCATATCCTAGAGCAACATTTGGGACAATTCTAATGACAACCCTACTTGGAAATGCAAATACCTTAATTTTTTTTTTTTTTGTGAAGCAATGGGGTGAAGTGACTTGCCCAGAGTCACACATCTAGTGCATGTTACGTGTCTGAGGGTGGATTTGAACTCAGGTCCTCCTGACTGTAGGGCAGGTGTTCTATCCACTGTGCCATCTAGATGCCCCTATCTTACTTTTTTTTAATGAATTTTATTTATATCTTTGATATCCTTTCTTCTCCACCACCTTAAAAAGTTATCCTTTATAACAAAAGATTTAAAAAAGATATCAATAAATTTCTTTATTTTTCTTGAAGTTTTTTTTGTCTATGTTTTCTTTTACAAAATGACTAACATGGAAATATGTTTTGCATGACTACCTATATCAAATTGCTTGCCTTCTCAATGAGGGGAGTGAGAAGGGAGAAAATTTGGAATTCAAAGTTTAAAAAAGGAATGTTAAAATTGTTTTTACTTATAATTGGGGGGAAATAAAATACTAAATAATTTAGAAAAAAAGTTTTAAAATCAGTAAAACTAATCAATAAATTGAAAAAAAATTTGACAATATATGCAATGTTCCATACCCATGGACCCTTCCCCCTACCTTTGCAAAAAAGTTAGAAGAAAAAACATCTTACTTTTTAAGACAGATATGTAAGTTCATGGCATTTAAATGTCTTTGTCTTAGTATGGATTTGAGTCAAACTTCAAAAACTTTATGCTGTCCTATCAAATAACAATCTGTTAAGTATACGTATCTGTGGTACAAAAATGCTTATCGATGTCTCATATAAAAGCATCTAAAACATCTATAAGACTTTAAAACTTGGAATTTGAACTTACTTCTTTATCAATGAGATATACTTAGTGTCTTCCATTGGGGCTTCAACACTTCATAAAAATGTAATCACCTGAAATAGGAAAGTAAAATTAGGTTTAGTCTACTAGAGGGATTAAAGAAGTTTAAAATTGTTCTTGCCATCCAGGAAGATATTATGGCATCATCAAAAAGGCTTCAGCTTTCCCCTTGAATTAACATACTGTTTTTCTATTTTCTCCCTGTAATAGTAAGGTGTTATGGGCTGCACAGCACTTATAATTTGTTTCACAGGTTCAGATCTGTACCCACAAAGACATGTTCACACTTTTCCTAGCTTATAAATGATTTAATAATGGTAATAATCATAAACATACATGCACATAAATGTGACTACATATGATTATACAATCTTAGAAGCAAAGACTATTAACAGAAAGACAGAGAGATAAAGAAGAAGAAATACATTCCGAGGAAGCACCAACTCCTGAACATCTGGCTGGGGAGTCCCATATCACAGCTGTCAGGGTCTCGGTTGGGAAAGTCCCTACGGCAGAGCTTCCTCTCCGAGAGAGACTCCCAAAGTCACTTTCCCAAGAAAGACCCTTTTTATCATACACAAAAAAGGCAGGGAGCCAAGGAATAGGTGATTAATCCTAAGGACCTGAGAGTTACGGCCGAAACTGTCCGTCCTCAAGAACAATCTTTGTTATGTCAAAGAATGTCTCGGATCAATACGCAGGAACTGGCCAAGTCCCTGGATGTTTACCTCAAGACTTGTTTTCTAAGGAATAGTTCCCCAAGGTGGGTCTGAGTTGAAACAAATCCCAGAATAATACTTAGGGAAGTTCTTTGTCCCTTGGCTTGGGCTGTGGGTAGGGAAGATCTTATACATTAAACCCTTCACTCCCTTTTCACATTATATAGTGAAATTCCAGAACTGAAAGAATAATGAGAACCGTTTGGCCTACTAAAAATTCAACCTAATAAATAATAAGGCTAAAAGCAAATCAAAATATTAAATAGTTTCTCTTGAAATATTTATTTTATTGGTTAAATGGTTTGTTATGAAGCCACAGTTTGCCTGTGAGATAGGTAGTGAACAGTTTAAGGCTCAGACAAGTAAAGTTATTGCCTGTGGTCCCACAGCTTCAGTGTCACATCTGAGATGCCAAGTTCAAAGCTTTTTCTATCATACCATATTGCCTCATAGAAAATTATAACTGGAAGAAATGTCAGAAATAATCTAGTTTACTCCCTTTAGATGTCCAGGAAGCTTAAATAGGAGGAAATGTGTCTCTTGAAACAAAACCTACTTTTTGAGAAAATGTTTCTGTTCCCTTTGAATAAAAACAAGGTAAGGAGACATAAAATAACTACATAATGTATAAAATATTTAGGAGTTTACTTACTAAGATGCACAAGAACCATATAAATACAACTACAAAACATACTCTACAAAGATAAAGACAGACTAAATAAGTGAGGAGATATTAGTTGTCCATATTTGGAACATATCAATATAATTAAAATGAAAAAACTACCCAAATTAATTTACTTATTCAGTACCACACCAGACATGCACAGCCAAGTTGGTAGAGTGGTAGGAAGCAGTGTGGTCAGGTCTCCTCCACAAAACTCCTTCAAACAGATATAGAAAATGCACCAGACCAAATGAAAAAAAAAATCAGTAAGTCATTTGTCCAGCCCAGTTTGGCATAGGGAGACAGACAGGGAGGACTTGTACCATGAGTGTGCCCCATGCAAGCATTCCAAAACTCTGGAAGAGGCTATGCATCAGGGCAAGGAGAGGTCTCAGATACTAGGAACCACCAGAGCCATACTGGGGCATTAAGACAGGAACAGTTGAGATCTAGCAGTTTTGTCACCCACTACCCACTTCCAGGCTACAGATCCAAGGTGGACTGAGAAGAGGACTTATACTTAAGGGCAGTTCCTAGTTAGGGAGGCTCTGGGCAACATACAAAGCAAGGAGTAAGTTCAAAAGCCAGCAGCAGCAGTATAGACTGCAGGCTGGATCTCATTTACAGCATCTATCCCAGCCTGCAGAATAATAGCCAGAACAGGTATTCCCAGACCAAAGGGGAGCCTACAATTCTGTCAGTCTGAACCAACAGAGCTAAACAAATAAAACATTTTTTAAAAAGTTGCAGAAGAGAACAGAAGGAAACAAATAGGACACCTTTGAAAGTTACACACTGAAATACAATGATCCAAAAATGTCATCCATCCCCAGTATCTGCATACAGATTGAAGCATATTTTTTTACTTTATTTTTCTTGAGTTTTTTTTTCTTGTCTATGTTTTCTTCACAACATGAATATTATGAATATGTTTTGCATGACTACACATGTATAACCTAAATGGAATTGCTTGCCTTCTCAATGGGGGGTGAGGGTGGGGAGGGAGGAAGGGGGTGAATTTGGAACTCAAAGTTTTAAAACGAAATGTTAAAAATTGTTTTTACATGTAACTGGGGAAAAATAAAATACTAAATAAAAGCTTTTTTAAAAAAAGAAAGTTAACGCACTGAATTATTACATTTAAAAAACAAAGTTATTCATAATAGAGATTCCCCTTTCCTAAGGCAATTCTTTTGCTCTCTAAATAAATTCAGGCTAAGAAGAAGCAAATGCTACTAAGTCACAGACAGGGAAAAAAAAAAGGCTTGCCTGGGTCATTATAGCAGGTATTCCCTGAGTTGAAGAATTGGTTTGTGAAACAAAAAGTAATATGATTGATTCTTCTTAGGAGTGGAAAAGTGAAGCAGCCAAGGAACCCAAATCTCTGGCAGATTCAAAGATTCAACTCAAAGGAAAGAGGAAAGAATCATCATCATCATCTTCATCATCAGAGTTAACAGTTATATAGCAATTTTAGGTTTACAAGTTTTCTCAATTGATGGTTAAAGGATTATCTACCACGGTGGAAAGAGAGCAGGATTTGGACCCAGAGGAACTAGGTTCAAAACCTTGTTTTGTTACCACACTTGTCCAAATCATTTCACTTTTTGGGACTTTAGTTTCCTAATCTGTAAAATGAAAAGACTGGGTTCATTCCTGAAAGCAGGTCCTATTCCTGAAAGCAGGTCCTATTCCTGAAAGCAATTTGGGAACTGTAAAAAGAAAATCTTTGTTCTCGCCTTTCTCCTGATGAAAGAGGCAAAAATGAGGTAGAGAAAATTAAAAAGAGTTTATTTAAAGAAAACAGCTAGGCTGAAATGTGTTGGTAGGATGGCCACAAGGGACCAATCCCACAGATTCAACCCTATTGCTTTTAAAGACAACTTTTCATAATAAGAGCAATAGTGAACATCTACAAAAGGGAATGGTCCATTTCACCTCAGCTCCTCCTTCACTGCAGTATTTTAGGGAAATGAGATTAGAGATAAGGAGGGAATGGGGTGCTATGTGCTGGCTAGCTGGTAATAAAGTTAACCCTTCCATGTTTTGACTTTCCCCATCAAGGTTTCTATATATTGCAGGTCAACCTAAGAAATTAACTGAGAATTTTTGGAGAGTTTTGCAGAAGCCATAGAGGATATATGAAGTCCAATAGACAACACAGAAAAAGTTTAGAAACTCAGAAATGCATAAAACATATTATAGTATTGCATAATATCAACCTATTTTATCTCTTAATACCATAATAATTCAGACTTCTCTGACATGAAGGGAGGGCCAAAAATTTTTTCTCCAATTGTCTAGATCGTCCAGCATCCCTAACCCCAAAATGTGGAAGGGATAACTGTTAAAAGACAAGGGAATATGCTAATGTTATCTCAGAGAGGAGTTCACAATCCAGGTAGGTACTGATTTCTAAAAATGGGATCAAAATGCATGCAGTTGCCCTTTCCTATTTTGGGTTGTCACCTATTTTAGCTACCCTATAAAAGGCCTGGCACATACACCTAGGAAAGGGGGAAGGGAAATCATGAGTTCAACTTGGTAGTGGCAAAATTCTACACAGAACTATCACCAAAAATCACTAATCAGTGCATGCTCTATGGCCCAGCATTGCTAGGGTGCCATTAAAGCCATCATGGGGGAAGTACCTGCTATGAAGAAGCCAGCCACTCCTATCATCTGTCACATACAGGGTAGGCAAGCAGCAAGCACTCTGAAGAGAGAGAGAGAGAAAGCAATGCCAAGCAAGTCAAACTACCACCATCATCTTGACCACCATGTACCCTCGGACCTTGATAGAAATAGCTCAGGAATCTAAATCTAAGAGTCTTGGCAAAGCAGCCCAAATCATCTGACCTGCTTCCATCATTGAGGGGAGAAATATTGTGGAGACGGGGCCACCTTCCTCATCACCGCCAGCAACTTCTAACTGCCATCAACAGGCACAAGAACCCTGAGCATGGCAGCACCCCACCCACACCCCCCAAGACCATGAGTCCTAAGCTTCCAGGCTAACTCTCATAACCATCATTGGACCACAAATGCTGCTTCCAATCCAACCCTCTCAGCCATCACTGGAGGGACTCCAGAAGGGAGAAGGGGCCAGTCATCCCCACCAATTGCCACTCACAAGGCAGGCAAGCCCCTCTCACTAAAGCAGCAAGAGACCCTGAGGGGGAAACAGAAGGCAACATGAGCCAGGCAAATCAGACCATGACCACCACAACCTAGACCATCTCTCCTCAGATTCTGATGGAGACAGCTCAGGACATCGAACCCAACAACTCTGGCAATAACAGTGCTCCCAATCTAATGTCCTTGGCCAATCATATTCCATGGGGAAGAAACTCCTTGAGAGGTAGCCCGGCAATTGTTCCAGCAAGTGCTACAACCACAGCAACTGATGACTCAGAAAAGAAAAAATTTTCCACGTCTTTGGAACTGTCAAATGGTTCAGCATCAGAAAATGATACAGCTTTATCAATGGGCATAACATTAAGGAAGATAGTTTATCATCTATTTCATATCCTAAGCATCCTAAGGACCATGAGACCTTCCAATGTGATTTGCAGCTGAAACCTTCCACGTGAATTGTGTGCTCCTTGAGAGCAGACTATCTTGCTTTTCTATTTGTATCCCCAGAGTCTAGCACAGTGTTTCACTTTTAATAACATAACCTTTTAATACATAATAACCTTTTAATACAGGCTTTATCCATTCATTCATTCAAAACTACTGATGGGCAAAAAAAAAAAAGATAAAGTAACGAGGAAAAGGAGCAATAAATATATATTTATAGCAGCTCTTTTTAATGGGGCAAAGAACTGAAAACTCGTGGGGTACCCATGAATTAGGGGATGGTTGAACAAATTATGATAAATAAATGTGATGGAATACTGCTGTGTACTTTTTTGTTGTTCAGTACTGTACAAATCTTCCCCATTTGAAGTTTTCTTGACAGAGATACTGGAGTGGTATGATATTTCTTTCTGCAGCTCATTTTACTTTGCAGATGAAGAAACTGAGGCAAACAGGGTTAAGTGACTTGCCTAGGGTCACACAGGTAGTAAGTGTCTGAGGCTGAATTTGAACTCAGGTCTTCCTGACTCCAGGCCTTGCCCTCTGTCCACTTCACCACTTAGCTGCCCTACTGCTGAACAGCTTCAAAATGTCAAAAGGAACAATTTTAGAGAAACCTGGAAGGATTTGTATGAACTGGTACAATGAAGTGAGCAGAACCAGAACAACAAAGTATAAAACAAAAACATCCATAAAAACAGATTTGAAAGAATTTAATGCTGATAATGCAATAATCTGCCACAGAGAGTGATGGACTGTGGTTACATATTAAAATACATTTTTGGACAACGCTACTGCAGGACTTTGTTTTGTCTATACATATTTGTTACAAGAGTTTTTTCTTTTTTCAGTGAGGGAGGGGAGAGGTCAAGAGAAAATAATATTTTGAATTGGAAAAAATTAAATTATTTTTTAACGGGTGGATGGGCTAAATCAGGGGAAGTACAGGAGAAAAAATTTTTGCTAATTGGAAAAAAAAACCAACTTTTAAAACTGGTCCAGACCAGGAATTCTTCACGTGGGGGAGGTGTCTATGAACTTTTTTTATAAATATTTTTTACACTGTATTTCAATATAATTGATTTCTTTTATAATCCTGAAGTCAGCTAGCATTGGACTTAGAGTGAAGAAGATTCAGAGTTTGAATCCAACCTCAGAGACTTACTAGCTGTGCGGTCCTAAGTAATTCACTTAACCTCCATCTGCCTCAGTTTCTTTAATAGTATAACAGCACCTCCTAAGGTGGTTGTGAGGATCAAATGAGATAATATGTAAGGTGTTTAGTGCCTAGCACATAGTAGGCACCTAATAAATGTTTGTACCCTTCCTCTTGCTTTTGTAATACTATTTTATTTTATGTATTTAAAAACATTATTCTGGGGGAAGGGGTCCATAGGCTTCACCAGACTTCCAAAGGGGTCCACGACACACACAAAATGGTTAAGAACCCCTCCTCTAGATGGTCTCTAGAGACCCCTCCAGCTTTAAATACTATTCTGCAATTTAGCAAAGGTGGAAACTTTCTTCCCGTGGCCCCGAGGGCAATGGAAAGGGCGGGGGTGTGGGGTGAGGGGGTGCTGCCTCTGGAGGCGGCACCCAGTTCCTGAGCAGACAACGAGCGAGCCTAGCAACTCCCCACGGGATCCCGAACCAAAACTTGAGTCCCGGAAAAAGGACAGAAAGCTGTGCTCCCGTGCCCTCCCCGGCAGCTAAAGCCTTCATCCCCACCTCGGTCCAGCGAGCGCCCAAGACAACGAGTAACTTACTGGCCGGCGGTTCCCATAGCAACTGCACGCTTCCGAAGGGGCTTCTTTTGCTTGTCTTTTAGTGGCCTAAAGATATGCCTCCTTTACACGCCAAGCAGTGCACGTCATATAAAGAAAAGTGGCGGGATATCAATGGAACATTCGTGGTTATGTTCCTGGAAGTTATTTGTTTCTTTCTGGAAGGTAGGATTTTGGATTTTGGGGTTTTTTCACAGTGGTTCTTCCGGCTATTTCGGAGAGCACCTGAAGTGGGAGGCGGGGCGGAAGAGTGTATATCCCACAAGGCAGCGCGACAGGTCCCGTACTTCCTTTTTTCTCCATCTTGGAGCCGGGGAGGTGAGTTGTGTTTGTGCTCCTGTCTCAGCTTTGGAGCTAAATAACTTGGAGGGGGTCAGGCCGGCGTCCCAGCCGCTTACGAGTGCTGGCCCGCCGCCGGCCCGGCTTACGATCACGATGGTTCCTGGTGTGGGAGGCCAGGGGATGGCGGAGATACTGGGTGGATGGTGGAAGGCCCGCCGGCCGCCCCGGGAAAGGGCTTCTTCCAGCGGCTCGCGAGCGAGTTCCGGGGCTGTCAGGATAACGTGGTTTTGCAGCGACTCCCGCCTTGGGCTTGACTGCTTGGGCACGATCGGCCGAGACTTCGCTCGCAGCCCGGCTGCTGCGCTTGTTCGAAGTTCAGCCTTTTTTTTCCGGAGGTTTGCTCATTCCCTCACACCTCCCAGCAATTAAGCATTTATTAAGCGCTTATTATGTGCCCAGCGCTGCTAAGCCCTGGGGATGTTAAAAAGGCAAAAAACCCCTGATCTCTAAAAGCTTAACGTTGTCGTGGGAAAAAAATGACATCTATACACATAAGTTAATTGGATTGCAGAACACGTACAAAATAATGTTGGTGGGTGGGAAGTGCAAACAATTAAAATTTAGGAATGGCGCTCTTAGGAATGGGCACTTGAACTGAGCCTTGAATGTAGATAGGGATTGCAAGAAATGTAAGTGAAGGAGAACATTCTAGGCACAAGGAGAGGCCATGATCAGAATGAATGGTCTGTGTGTCAAATAGGCCAATTTGGTCACGCGGTATGGTTTTGGGGAATGGATTAATGCCATTCAGTGCTTTTTTCCCCCCCTTCCTAACTCTGTACAATTTCCTTTATCTATAGCTTTAGTTGCACTCCTCCCTACAACCCTTTGTGGTTTTTCCTTTCATTAGTACTAAGGCTGTTGAAGTGTTTGTGTTGTATGTTTTCTGTATCTGGCAAATTCTCATGTCTTTGTAAGTGTAATTGAAATGTATGTGCAGTGAATACATTATCAGTAGATACCTGGGAGGAGTTGGTAATATCTTTTACCCCACAGAAACAAGGCCAAACAAAATTCAGTCTCTGTTAAGTTAATGATGTGTAGCATCATATTGCAAGCATTTAAACTGAGTCTCTTGGTTTAAGGCCTGCTGGAAACAGGACTTCTAGAACAGCAAAATGTCTGGAAGGTAAGAAAGTATATTTCACTATCTTATTTATTTTCTCTCTTTGATGGTGTTTTCTCCAAGATTTTCTATATTTTTCTAGGCTTCATAAACTTCACAAATGACAATGGTTATCTTTTTGTTCTTACGTCTTAGACTGTGGTCCAAGGCCATTTTTGCTGGCTACAAGCGAGGCCTCCGAAACCAGAGGGAACATACAGCTCTTCTGAAAATTGAAGGAGTCTATGCTCGGGATGAAACTGAATTCTATTTGGGCAAGAGATGTGCTTATGTATACAAAGCTAAAAAGTAAGTGCTTTTTTTTAACTGGCTCAAGAGTAATAGAGAATTTAAATTCAAACTTTTAATTTTAAGGAAGGCAAATTAAGACATTTGTGCCAACGTTTTAAACATATAGTTAGATTCCTGTTAGTATGAATATAAAACAAGAGTATAAATATTGTTGGATCTACAGTGGTATCTCAGGGAGGGATTATGATTAATTGGTCAATAAGCATTCAAGTGCCTTCTAAGTACCAACTGTGGTGCTAAGCACAGGGAATAAAAAGACAGCCCTTGTTTTCAAGGAACTCACAATCTAATGAGGGAAACTGGAAATCGAGTAGGGGGACAGGTTATGAAAAACTCTACCTTTCAAACAGGATTTTTTTCCATTTGATCCTAGAAGTGGTAGGGAGCCACTGGAGTTTATTCAGTAGGGGGATTGACATGGTTAGACCTGCATTTTTGGTGGATCACTGACAGCTGAGTGAAGGATGGAAAGGAATCAGGAGAGTTTTGAGGCAGGGAGGCAAACCAAGAGACTCGACTGCATATGGTGACAAGGGAAGAAAAGGGGGCATGTGTTAAGGTAGAGTCAGCAAGAATTGGCAATGGATTGGATATGGGAGGGGGGTGAGAGAACGAGAAATCTAAGGTGACACCTAATAATATTCAGCAACAGAGATAACTTGAATCCAGGGAGCTGATAAGATCATCAGATGAAATAGGGAGCACCCAGGACTGAGCCCTGTAGGACACCCACTTAGTAGTCATTACCTTATGAAGATCCAGTAAATGAGACTAAAGAATGGTCAGATTAAGAGAACCAAGAGAGAGTAGTAGTACTCTACTACCAGTGTGGTAGAGTAGTATAGGTACTTAATAAATATTTAGTAATTATTTACAGGTCAAGAAGGATGAGTTTTGAGAAAAGGTCATTAGATTTGGTGATTAGGAGATCATTGGTAACTTTGAAGAGATTGGTTTCTGTTGAATGATGAGGTCTGAAGCCATGTCTAAATCTGAAGATTCCTAAATACAGCCCCTTAAATCAATGGGATTATAGTTAGGATGAGGATTATCTCTCTCCCCCCCCCCCCCCCTTTTACATGTAAAAAAATTTTTTTTTTTTTTTTTTTTTTTTTTAGAATTTTGAGTTCCAAATTCTCTCCCTCCCCCCTCCCTGAGACAGTTGGTAAGCAATCTGATACAGGTCATACGTAGGCAATCATGTAAAATGTTTCCACATTTTGTAGAAGAAAACTTGAAGCAGAAAGAAAGTGAAAAATAGTTTGCTTCAATCTGCATTCAAATTCCATCAGTTCTTTGGAGTCAGATAGCATTTTTCATTGTGAGTCCTTTGGAATTGTCTTTGATCATTGTGTTGCTGAGAATACTAAGTCATTTACAGTTGTTCATTGTACAGTGTTACTGTTACTATGTACATCTACTCACTTCACTCTGCATCATTGCTTAGGATGAGTTTAAATTGAATGTGGGAACTAAATTGAGGTTTGGAAATGTTTCCATTGGAATGGTAGCTTTGAGGATAAAGTAATTTTCCTAATGTGATTTGGGATGCTATCTTTATACAAAGATTCCCTTGAAATTCATTGTGCATTATTGTGATTTTATTGGTTAAGATTCTGGGCATTTTTTTCCTCTGTCAGCAACACTGTGACTCCTGGTGGGAAACCAAACAGAACAAGAGTTATCTGGGGAAAAGTTACTCGAGCTCATGGAAATAGTGGAATGGTTCGCGCCAAGTTCAGAAGCAATCTTCCTGCCAAGGCCATTGGACACAGGATCCGAGTGGTGAGTAATTCAAATGAACGAGGTATCCGCAACTAGGAGATGTAGTCAATAAAGTACTGGACCTGGAATCAGAAGACCTGAGTTCAAATCCTAATTCAATTAAGTTGGTGATAGTAAAGATCTAAACTTATCCTTTGAGCTTATCTTATTAAACTAGTGGGTCTGAGTCTTTTGAAAGAACAAAAGCAAGTTTCAAGGCTAGATGTGAACGATATTAGATTGGTTGGTAGAAATAGCCTCTGTATTCTTAGAAGCAATGATGATTTTTTATGTACTTATGTCCTTCTATGAATATTCCCAAAGAAGTCAAATCTTACAGTGTTCAGATGAAATTACAGTAGAGTGTACAACATGCATAGCTGTGTTTGCCTTGTCAAATGCTACTCTATTAGAATAGGCTATGTATTAAGTTGGTCTTGATCTTGACTCTGCCCCAATACTAGAGGCATTATGACTCTAGACAAGTTAGTTAATCTGTGGGCTTCGGTTCCCTCCTTTGTAAAAAGGAGGCGATAGATTTCTTTCCAGCTTTATCAGGTTGTTGATAACTATTAAGAGAGGAGGTAAACTGTGCACCACACATGCTTTTTGTAGGAAATGTTTAAAACCAGCCATTTGCCCCTTCAGTGTGCAGTGACCCACACTTACTGATACATGGGTAAAATGAGATTTTTTAACTTACTGAAGTGGGCTTGGAAAATCACTCAACATTACCAGCATTGTTTTTGCCTTAGTTACATTTGTTTACATGCAGTGTTATTGGGTGTTTTCATGGGGGGGTATCCCTCTGTCCCTCTCAGGAAATAATAGGGTACTTGAAACTCCTTGCTGTAATTTAGAAAAGCATAAAATAAGTTTTGGGCTTGTTAGAGATGTGTTCTTGCTAAGATCTCTTTGTTTCTTTGCGTTGCTTGTCTTTTTTTTCAGTTCTTGCTCATCAAGACCACAAAGTAAATTTTTGTTATTTTATGGCCTTGTTATAAGGCCTTGTTTGCCCATCAAAAAAAAATGATGATTTGTTAGTTCCTGTACCCCTTTGGAAGATAAAATTAACTTGTATATTTATTACTCATCTCTTACCTATTATTTTTTTTCTTCCAGATGCTCTATCCCTCAAGAATCTAGAATATGAAAACTGATTAAATAAAATTACACATTTTTTGCAAATGTTTATTTTGTTTTGGATGCCTTTTTCCTATTTGAGATCTATTTGTTGCTGGTTTTTTAAAAATACATATTTACTGATCTCTTTTGCTTTTACATCACTCATATTTTCTACTTTATTTCTGCCCCACCTCCTGTCAGAGAGCCATCTCTTGTAAGAGTATGAAAAAACTTTATGAAACTAAACATCAGCATAATTTCACAGCATTCAGTTTTGTTGCTATTGTTCTTTCCATTTGTGTTGTACTTGTGTATGTTACTTTCCTGGTTCTGCTTACTTCACTTTGTGTCTTGTCACATAGGCCTTCCTGGGTTTTTCTGAAATAATCCCCTTCATTTCTTACAGCACGATAGTAAGCAAAACTTGAAGATTTTTGCTAAGGTTTGGGTATGGTCCTGCACATCTCAGTACAGCCTTTATGGGGAGGCTGAGACTGGCAGGTATCTTGCGCTCAGGAGTTCTGCTCTGCAGTGACTGTGCCATGCCAGAACCAAGTTCAACATTAGCACAGTCAGCCCCAGGACAGGAGGAGCCACCAGGTTACCTGAGGAATGAACCAGACCCCTTCAGAAACAGGGAAAGTCAAAGCTTCTGTGCCCATCAGTGAGATAGGGCCCTGTACTTCCAGCCTGGGCAAAATTGGAACCCCCTAATCTTTTTTTAAAAGATGATGATAATTGTTAGATTAAATTACAATTTTTCCCAAAATGGTGTTTTTTTTCTACTAAGGAAATACACCGTGTACAAAGATACGTAAATGGAATTTCAGAAGGCAATCTGTTTGACGTTTAAAAACCTTTACATTCTAGCCAAACTGGCCTGCTTGAGGTTTTCCACATATGGCATTCTGTCACTCAATGCCTGAAATGTTCTCACCTTCACTTTGCAGAATCCCTTGCTTCAAGGTTAAGACCCACATGAGGTCTCTCCTGAACTCCCTGGTTGTCAGCACCTTCACCTGGAAATTGCCTTTAGCAGCTATGTAGTCCAACCCATAACTGACAGAAATCTTCATTGTAACACCCAGCAAGTTTCCATCCCATCTTCAACTTCCAACAAGTTAGCCAACGTTTATTTAGCTCCTTCCAGGTACTGGGCACTGTGCCAAGTGATGGAAGATAGGAAAGCAAAATACTGTTCTTGCCCTTGAGCTCAGAATGAGAAAGGACAAACACGTGTAAAAATTTATATGCGCTGGATAAATTGGAATTAACAGGGAAGACACAAGAGGGATTAGGGAGAGCCTTCAGTAGAGGGTGAGATTTTAGATGGGACTTGGAAGCCAGGAAGGCTAGGCCTGGGGGAATGGCCAGTGAAAAAGCAGTAGGGAAATGGGAATGTGGTGGTGTGTGAGGAACAGCAAGGAGGTCACTGTCTCTTGAATGATGGCTGTCAGTGTGGAAGGCAGAAGGTTAAGAAGACTTGGAAAGGGTGGTGGGCAGATTAAAAAGGGCTTTGAATACTAAACAGGGTTTTATATTTGATTCTGGAGGTCATAAGGAATCACTGGAGTTTATTGATTAGGGGAGTGACATGGTTAAACCTGGACTTTAGAAGGAACCTTTTGATAGTTGAATGGAGAAAAGAGTGGAGTAAAAAAAGATTCGTGGCAGGCAGACCAGCTAACAGGCTATAAAGATAACCCATATGTGAAAAGAGATTCTACCACCTCAGAAGGGGTTCTGCTTGGAGAGCATCAAATGGGCAGTTAACCCTTTGCCTGTTAATCTCAGCTAAGCAATGCTTTTCATTCTATAGTAGTTTTGAAACAATTCCACAGAGATTAAAGTCAATTTTAAGGTATCTTTATTTACCTAAACAGACATATTGTGATGTCAGTGTTTGTATACCCTTAGAGTATTGGAACCATCTGGTCAAGCATGACCAAAAAACGTTACTGTTCATTGTTTTAACAAGTTCCCATTTCTTTGGTCACCATCCCGAGTTTCAAGGACTTGAATTTCTTCCTGAGTCTTCTATTACAAAAAAGCTAATTAGGTCATGGATAAGAATTAAACCAGTGCTTTCAGAGGAGGACAGCATCTCCATTGCATTAATTAAACTTGAAAAGGTTTTTCATTCAAGTGAGACCATAGGCCTCAGATCAAGGCCCTGCCATAATATTGCAATTCTAGAAAGAAAAAGGTGCTTCACAAGACATGCTTGTTTACTGGAAGAGGAGCCCATTTCACTTTTGAACAGTACTTAACATAGTGGTTGGCACATAGGAAGCACTGTATAAATATGATTACTATTTATTACAAGGTTGTTCTTGACATCAAAGCTAAAATCTGCCACTTTTCAACTTTTACCCATTGCTTCTAGTTCTGCCCTCTTAAGGCCAAACAGAATAATGCCTCTTCCTTGTGACAACTTGAAATATTTTAACACAGCCACAATGTTTCCTTGCCCTGAGTTCTTTCCTTCAGGTTAAATATCCCAAGGTTGGGCTGTTCTTGAAGCCCTTCAGTGTTCTCCAACTAATATTGATAATATCTTCGACTGTTGGACCCAGAACTGGAAACTATTCAAAGTGTAGTCTGATCAGGACAGAATACAGAGGACCTTATTCCTCATTTTTAGCAGTTAACTTTCTTAATGTAGGCCAAGATTATGTTAGCTTTTTTGTCTGTCACATCACATTACTGCCTTGTTAAATTTGTGTTCATTAAAACTCCTGATTCTTTTAGACAAATTGCTGACTAAACATGCCTACCTTATCCAGTACCTGTAAAACATTTTGAAAAAAAATTCAAGTGAAGACTGTCCTTATTGAATTTCATCTTATTAGGTCCATCCTAATATGCTAGCCTGTTAATCTTTTTTGGATTCTCTCATCCCATGTGTTAGATACTTTTCCCAGCTTTGTGTTACCTTGAGATGTAATAATGATGCCATCTGTACCTCTATACAAGTAGTCTCGGGGACACTCCATTGGAGACTTCTTGTTAAGTTAACTATGAATTAACACAGCTCTTTGAATATAGCCATTCAACCAGTTCCAAGGCCATCTAATGTTGGAGTGTAAGTTTATTGAGGGTAAGGACTTTCATTTTTGTTTTTATATCCCCTGCTAGCATAGTGCCTGATATAAAACAGCAATTACTGAATGAATATCCTCATCTCCTTCCCTTTCACCACACCTATTGGAGCCATGTTAAAAAATATCTGATCTAAGCAATACTTTTCATTTTATAGTAATTTTGAAACAATTCCACAAAGATAAAGACAATTTTAAGGTATATAGCACCTACTATGTGGCAGAGTGGATAGAGAGCTGGTCCTGGAATCAGGAGGAAGATCTGAGTTTGAGACTTCACTTGTTAGCTGTGTGACCCTAGGCAAGTCACTTAACTTCTGTTTGCTTTAATCCACTGGAAAAAGAAATGGCAAACCAATCTGATATCTTTGCCAAGAAAACCCTATAGACAGCATTGGTGCATTGTGGTCCACAGGGTCACAAAGAGTTGGACATGATAGAATAACAACAATGTGCAGGGGCACTTCGCTAAGGTGTGTTACAATATTATCTTATTTGACAACTTTTAGTGGCTTCTTACTACCTTTAGAATCAAATATAAAATCCTGTGTAGTTTTTCAAGGTCTTCAAAATTTGGTCCCAACCTTCCTAACATTAATCCCCTCCACATACTCCATAGAACAGCTATATCACCTACTTGCTGTTAATCACACAGAACACTGTATCTCTTGAATGTATGCTTTTGCACTGGCTATCCCTTAAGCCTGGAAATACACTCCTTCCTCACCTCTGCTTCTTGGAAGACCTGGAGTCTCCTTTGAGGCTCAGCTCAAATTTCCTGGTCCTACCATGTCACCTCCCCCTACCCCTTTCCTAGCCCCACCTTTAATGTGTTGCTTTTCCCCATTAGAATGAAACCAGAGACTATCTTGCTTTTATTTGTATCTTAGTGCTTTATGCCAGTGTGGTCAAACTCAAATAAAAATGGATTCCTGGGGCAACCAGGTGGTGAAGTGGATATCTCACCGATCCTGGATTGAGGATGACCTGAGTTCAAATCCATCTTTAAACACTGCTGAGTGACCCAGGGCAAGTCACTTAATCCTGATTGCCTTAAAAAAAAAAAAAAAAAAGGATTCCTGCAGGCACATGTCTACTTAGAAAACCACAAATTAACATTATCTGCGCTGCGTTTTTATTTATTTTGTTTTAAGCATTTCCCAATTACATTTTAATCTAGTTCTATGTCTTTTCGTCTTTCTATATGTCTGCCTATTTATCCATCTCAAGTTCCTTCTCTGAATGAGGACTTTCCTGCTTCCCCCCCCCCAGCTGCTAGTGTCTTTTCCGTCAAGATTACCTTTTATCTATGTTATATGTATTTTCTACATATCTACATACATGTTTTTAATTTATTTTGAATCATCAACAATCACTTCCATAAGCTTTTGAGTTTTAAATTTTTCTCCTCCTCCTTCCCCACCTCCTCCCCAAGACGGCAAACAATTTGATGTAAGTTATACATATACATTCCTATTAAACATATTTTCACATTAGTGATGCTCTAAGTAACAATTAAAACCAATAGGAGGAACCACCAGAAAGAGGAAACAAAACACAACAAAAGAAAAAAAAATAGCCAATTGTATGCTTCAATCTGCATTCAAACTCCATAGTTCTTTCTTTGGATGTGGATAGCATTTTACATCATGAGGCCTTTGGAGATGTCTTAGATCCTTGTAATGCTGAGAAGGGTTGTTTATCAATATTAGTCATCTCACAATGTGGCTGTTACTGTGTACAACGTTCTCCTGGTTCTGCTCACTTCACTCAGCATCAGTCCATACAAGCCTTTCCAGGTTTTTCTGAAGTCAGCCTGTTAATCATTTCTTACAGCACAGTAGTATTCCATTACATTCATATACCACAACTTGCTCAGCAATTTCCCAATTGATGGGCATCCTCTCAATTTCCAATTCTTTGCCACCACAAAAAGAGCAGCTATAAATATTTATGTACATGTGGGTCCTTGTCCCAATTGTATGATCTCTCTGGAATATAGCCCTAGAAGTGCTATTTCTGGGTCAAAGGGTATGCACATTTTTATAGCCCTTTGGGCTTTTTAATTTTTTTTTTTTTTTTTGGTGAGGCGTTTGGGGTTAAGTGACTTGCCCGAGTTCACACAGCTAGTAAGTATCAAGTGTCAGAGGCTGGATTTGAACTCAGGTCCTCCTGACTAGGCCCCATGTTCTATCCACTCTGCCACCTAGCTGCCCCTACATACATGTTTTGTATCTACCAATATTTGTGCATGTTATGTATATTAAGTTCCTTCAGTGGGGGAGGGACTTTTCCTTTTGTTTTTATATTACCATAGTCTCTAAATAGTTTTTTGATTCAGAGTTTCCCAGCAGTAAGTACTAAAAAGACATCTATTAGCTGCTGGGAAACAATGTACTATAGTCATCTATCATCCCTCAGTACTTTTGCCTCTGAGGGGCTGCTTTCACTCAAATCCTGTCAAAATTCTTTCCTCAAGCATTGTGATTTTCCTTAAGGTGTTTTCTCATGTTTATAATATAAATATACAATATATAATATACATATATAATAAACCTAAATGTATTTTTTCTGCTCCTTTTAGGAAACAAAATTTATCCACATAAAAAGGGCATACTACCTTACAGATGAATAATAGAAATTTTTTAAAAATTAAGTGTAACAAATCAACACATCAATCAAGTCTGACCAATTATGCAAAATTCCATACCTATAGTCCCCCATCTGTGTTAAAAAAGAGAAGTGCAATTTCATAGTTCTTTGGGTCCAAGCTTGATCATTATTACAAAGCATTCAGTTTCAATTTCTGTTTAATAATCATTTATCAAGTGCCTACTAGGTGCTGGGGAGACAAAAAAAAATTAATGAAAGCTAGTCATTGCTTTCAAGGAGCTCACGTTAAATTGGGAAGAAAATGAAATGGAATTTGGGAGTTCTTTCCGAGTGTGCGGACCGCAGCCCATCCATACGGCTGCCCATCTTGTGTTTGTCCATGTTCTCCGCAAAGTCTGGCACATGGGGCGAGGGGGAGGTGGCGAGAGAAATTCCCAATATGCTGCAAGCCTTCCTGGCTTTCTCTCTGCATAGTAAGAGCACCGGTGGAACTCTGTGCTGGTTTGCCTCCAGCCGGTGTCCCTTGCGCTTGACATAAACCCAGCTTTCTTCCTGTCATGCATTTCCTCGATGACACTGTTTCCTCCTATCTTTAATAATGCATTACATCAAGTTCCTCTCCAAAGTCCTCTGAGTGATCTTCAGCTTTCATAGGCAATGTGTCTCATTTCCTGCTGCCACAGAGCACGGATAAACACGTACAAAATAGATTTTTTGGGGAAAAAAAATATTATTTATTCGTACAATTCGAGGAGGAATTCGTACAATACAGTCGGAGGGGGACTAGAGCACTAACACAACCTTCTAGCCTGTGACTCTGAGCCAATCAGAGACCGCCTTCTCCGGGAGGTAGTGACGTCACACGCACACGTAGACGTACGCGGTGCGATAGCGTCTTGTGCTCCATGGTAACGACGCTCGGCAGCACTTAAAGATGGCGGCCGACGGAGGCGGAGGCCCGGGTGGCCGGCGGCCGCGCGGACCTCCGTGGAGTCTGCGGGCTCTGCTCCTCTTCCTGACCGGCCTTCGGCCGAGCATCGCCGCCTCTTCTTCGGTCTCCTTGGGCGGCGGCTCCCACTGCCATCACCGCGTCCCCTCCGCTGATGAGGTAGGGATGCGGGCGCCCGGCCGAGGTGCGGGGAGTGGGCTCGGCATCCAGGCGCCTGGCGGGGTCGGAGCGAGAACCGAGCCGCGGCGCCGGGGCCCGAAGGGGGTTCACTTCCTCTCGGAGGCTCCGGAGGGGTGGGGGCGGTAGTTCACATTCATTTGCGCTTTCAGGTTTGTAAAGCACTTTCCTCCAAACTGCCCAGTGAGAGAGGGAGGGTGCCGGCATCCTTCCGTGGGGCAGCCCCGGGAGAGGACAGGCGTTGGCTCGTTTTGCAGATGAAGAAGCGGAGCGTTTCACTTGCAAAAGAAAGAAAGAAGAAATAATGGAAGAAAGAAAAATTGAATCGAAGGAAGGATGAATGAGAGGAAGGAAGAATGAATGAAAAGAAGGAAGGGAGAATGAATAAATCGAAGAAATGGCGGAAGAATCAAAGAGAATGAAAAGATGGAAAGAAAGAAGAAAAAAGAAAGAAGGGAAGGAAGAAAGAAAAAAACCTGGCTGCATGACATTTTGTCAGTGCCGCAAGTTAAAATAGGATCAGGATTCCAATCGATCGATCAGTCCATCAAATATTAAGCTCCAGTTCTATGCTAGGTGCGGAAGCGATACAAATGCAAAGAATGAAACAATCCCTGTTTGCTTGCAAGGAGGTTACTTTCTAACGGGGGAAGATGAGAAGTTCACAGGTGTCAAAATATGTGCATGAATACAAAGTTAATAATATATCTACAGAGTTAACTTAAGATAATAAATGACGGGTAGGCTGCTAGGTGGTGCAGCGGATAGAGCTCTCGACCTGGAGTCATGTGGCATTTGAGTGCAAATCCGGACTTGGACGCGTACTAGCTGTGACCCTCTTGCTATCACTTCACCCTTGCTCGTCTCGGTTTCCTCATCTGTAAAACCCAGATAACAACAGCACCTACCTCCTTAGGGTTGTTGTGAGGATAAAAAGATAACCTTTGAAGAGTTTGAAAGGGAGGAAGTTAGCTTTTGGGGGTCGGGGGACTGAATCAGGAAATGCTTCTTGGGGAAGATGATGCCTGAGCATCTTGAAGGAAAAAGCTGATGATGTTAGGATGGCGTGCACTCCAGGTGTGGGGAATTGAATTGCTAACTAATTTATGAAATTATCAAATGGGGGCAGACCACTCTTACTCTCCAGGAAAGACCAGAATGGCAGGCGGAAGTGAGCCGCAATCACGCTTTAATAAAGGACAGAGGGCGTAGGGGCAAAGGGCACAGAAAATACAGAAACAAATGGGTGCAACGGGAGAGGAGTTAGAGGCAGATTGCTGGGGTGGTGGAGGCAGGTTGTGTGCCTAAGAGTATGGTTATCAGGAAAGTCACTTAAGTAACCAGAGATTGGATTAGTGTTGGGTGCACTGGAGGAGCATGGAGATGAAAGAGTGCTGGGGGTGAAGGTGGGGACAAGAGAGCAGGATTTTGAGGTCTCATAGAGGGTTTGATGGGGGACAGACTAACTCATATCCTTGCAACCTTGGGGTAAGTTCACTAACATATCCAAGTCATCTCAAAGTTGTCGGTAAAACCATAAAGTTATATCCATCTTATCTCTAAGTCTTCAGGTACGTTTGGTGTTCTGCTTGTATGACTGCAGATGTTTGGAACTTCTCTGAGATTTACAAATCATAGGACCAAAAGGCCCTAACCACCAGGCTTAGAAACTTCCCCTGTTTTAGCACATACTTTTAGGATGTGGCATTTGGTTAATACGATACAGTTTGCAAATGTGACAGCTAGGTTCCCCTTTGCAATCTTACTTCCTGCTATTTATACTGGTTACCTATACGTTTACTTACTTTCCTGACTAGACATCGGTGGGGTGCAGGAAGAGGTTGATCAAGAGGACCAGAACAAGATACAATTGTAACCCAGGGGTGGGGAATAGAGAGGCCGTTTAGCAGGATCTCTTCCTCTCTCGAGTACAAGGTTGCAGTCTGCCAGGGAACATTAAAGTGGCTACTATGTGCCAACCTTTGTAGTAGTTGCTGAAGAAACAAAGACAAAACATTCCTAACACATAGTAGGTGCTTACTAAATGTTTATTGAGGGGCGGGTAGGTGGCATGGTAAATACAGCACCATCCCTGGAGTCAGGAGGACCTGAGTTCAAATCCGGCCTCAGACACAAAACACTCACTAGCTGTGTGACCCTGGGCAAGTTGCTTAATCCCATTGCCTAGCCAAAAAAAAGTAGTTTATTGATTGAATGAGGGAGTTAGTATGTACATACAAAATACAGAATGTATATAAAATACCAGGCAGTTTGGAGAGGAAGGAAGACATTTTGGGGGCATATATCTATAGCTATAGATATAGCTGTATCTATATATATGTATAGCTATAACTATAGCTATATCTATATATCTGTGGCTGAGTCTTGAAGATTAAGAGATTTTAGAAGCAGAAGTGAAGGAGTACACTCCAGGCATCAGGGGACAGTCAGTGCACAGGCTTGGAGTGAGAACATAGCAAGATGACCAGTCTGGCTGGACTGACCATAGAGTGGGATAAAGGAGTAGTGAGTGTACAATAAGACTGGAAAGGTAGAATGAGCCTAGATTTTGAAGGGCTTTAAATGCAGACAGGAGTTTGTATTCCATCCTAGATGCTATAGACAGCTATAGGACTTTATTGAATAGAAGAGTAACAAGGTAAGACCTGTGCATTGGGAAAATCACTTTGGCAACTGTATGGAGGACGAATTATAGTAGGGACACATTTGTGGCAGGGAAACCGATTAGGCCATTGCAGTAGTCAAAGTGAGAGGTGATGAGAACCAGCATCAGAGTGGTGGCAGTATCAGAGGGAAGAAGAGGTATACAAGAGATATTATAGAGGTAGTCTTTTTTTTTTCATTTTTCTTTCTCTTTTTTTTTTTTTTTTTTGGTTGGGTAATTGGGGTTAAGTGACTTGCCCGGGGTCACACAGCTAGTAAGTGTCAAGTGTCTGAGGCCGAATTTGAACTTGGGGCCACCTGACTCCAGGGCTGGTCCTCTGTCTACTGCACCACCTAGCTGCCCCACAAAGATAGTCTTCATAGGACTTGTCTACATATTAGATATGAGGAGTGAGAAAGAGAGAGAAGACCTGAGGATGACATTTTGGTTTTGTTGACCTTGGGTGACTAGGAGGATGTGTCGTTGTCCCCCCCCAAGTAATAAGACAGTTGTTGTTTGTCCTTGCTGTTTGAAGAAGATCATGACATCAGGAAAGTGATGCCATGACTTGAAAGTGAATTGAATTGAATTGAATTTAAGGGCTTCACTCTCTCCTCCAGAGCCATCTGGGTCCAGTGGCAATATATAGATTAGGATGACTGGAGATGGCTCCTGATACAGTGGGAGACCTTGGCCTTTTTAAGCTAAAGTCTTTTGAGTTTTCACTTTGACCGAGGCAACGGCCATTCTGTAATTAAGGTTAGGTAAGAAGTGATCCAAAGAATGGCCCCTTTTGCCTAATTAAAAATAAAAACAAAAAATCAGTCTGGGAGGGGAAGACTCTCAGGGTTTCTGGCCAAAACAGAAACAATTAAATTACATTCGGAAAGTAAGGGAGAGGAAAGGGCTGGAGGGGAAAGATAATAAGTTTGTTTTATTTCATTCCAATCCTGAAGCTGAACCTCCAGACTGGCCAGAATCATGCCCAACATGCAACATTTGGAAATGAGGAAGAGTTCTTTTTAGGCCTGGGAACTGCTTGTGTGAAAGAGTAGAAATAGGCAGCAACACAGCTGTTAGTAACAGTTTTTCTGAACTGAACCAGGTAGCAGTATGCTTGGAGAGAAGGAAATAGATGTGACTAAATATTGTGGAGGTAGAATTGACATCTCTTGGCAATAGGTGAGATGAGGGATCTTGAGGAAAGGAAGACTTGAACATAACTCCAAAGTTTTGAGTATGGGTGACTGGGAGAATAATGGTACCTTGAATAAAATTAGGGATATTTGGAAGAGGTGAGGGGTGGGTGGTGTGGGAGGGGGCAGATGAGTTCAATTTTGTAGTTGTTAAATTTGAAATGCTCATGGGGCATTCTAGTGGAGGTATTTAAGGTAGATAAATGTATTTATGAAGTTCAAGGATTGTCACATACATTTTACTTTCACAACTTTCAAATAATCAGTTTTGCTGAAGGGAGGATTCAACCTAGGCATTTTTTTGCCTTAAGTTCCTCCTTTAGGTTGTTGGTTAAGTTCTTCTTTTCTTTAGCTCCCTGAAATAAGTTGCTATTTCCAGCAGCTTCAGAAGTTATTCAGTCCACATGTATCATAAAAGTAACATTCCTAACCACAAATGTCCTGCTGCATAGTAAGATTTCTAAGGCAATCTCACTTTGAAGAGCAGGATGATAGATGTATATCCTAATCCAGTAGAATATTAGATTTAATAGATGTCTGGAAACTCTCCATTATGCTTCCCACACACCCATACCCTGAAATTTGGCAATAGCAACAAATATGCACATAAAAAGTCCAAGAAAGGACACTGGTTAAGTGATCTGCCTTGTCCAATTGAATTATGTTCAAAACTAGTTTCTTAAGATTATTGCCACTTTCCATGACTTATAAATTCCTCTTTTTTTTTAAACTATAAAAATAAGCTCTGTTAGTCAACCATTTGTCTCTGACTAATGAGAAACCAATAGACCTGATTTGATTGCAGTTGCTAGCCTTGGAAATAACTCATTATACTGGGAAGTTTTGTGCCTCAGATTTTTCTATTTCAACAGTTACAAGATTTCATCACCCACAAGCATTGCTTCCATGGATGGTAACTGCTGAAGTTAGGCTGGAAGCAGGTTGGGGTTGGGGTTGGGGAGAAGATTGCTCTTCCTGGGCCCCTTGGGCTTACATGCCCTTCAGTGGTAGTTGTTCAGCAGTTCTGTTGTTAGTAGTGAGGATGGTAGACTCCTTCAGAGGGAATATTCTCTTTGGTAATGGTTGAAGAGGCCAGCCTGGAAACAGGGGTATTGGTCTTG